AATTCAATTTTAAGGGATTACTTTAAACCCTTTTGCTCATACAACTTTTTCAATACTTCCATTCCACTTAACTTGATTTCAGTATCATTCAGTTTCTAAGTTAAGATATGCAATATAGATCCTTGTGAAGAGCCCAAGGGCCATCGAACAAAAGATTATCCCTGGATCTACACCGATGTATTGACTTGATAGTGATTCTCAAATATAGCAGAATGTATATTTAGGAATTTGTCCCAAGTTTCCCATTTTAGATTTATTTTTGGTGAATTTATTTGCAATGTTTTTAAATTTAAAATTGGAATCCAATTAATATTGGAAGTTCTTTGTTGTTTTTGTTTTGGTGAATCATATTGAAAATTCTTTTCATAGGAATAGGATCATGGAACCTTAACTTATAATAATAAATTCAATTTACCCAGATAATATTGCAAATATTGCCATGAAAAGTTATCATGATAAACCCTGGTACATTGAATTTAACAGCAATAATTGTCACCAAGGGTACAAACATGTCGCAAAAGAGTTCCTGCCCTAGCATGTTACACAAATATTAGAATTCCTATCTGGTGGTCAACCTTGCTCTTAGAATATGATATAATTTATAAGTTTAGTTTTGAAATCAGACTGGTGATTATAATTTATGATGAGTGAAAGTACATAAAACCCAATGAACTATGGAAAACCATAAGCGACAGGTTATCACCTTCATATTTCAAGGGATATAAGATGATTGGACTATGGTTTCCACTAGTCCATAAGGTTACGTAAAATATCCATTTTTGGCATGTAGATTATCTGCCCATACATGTTCAAGAACAAAACAAGTTCTATATATTTTCCAAACAATAAATGCCGAACCTTTACAGGATCCGAGAGCACTGCATATGCCTCTCCAATCATTTTAAATAGTCTGTCTGCATCCTTGTGGGCCTCATCTGCAACTTCTTTCCAGAGCCTCTCATCTCCATTTTCATTCCTTGCCAAAAATTGACCAGCCTATGACAACACAGCATCATAAATATTTATGGAAGGAAACTAATAAGAGAAGAATTTGAAGAGATTTAAGAGCAAATTTAAGGAGTCAAAGTGAAATATTAAGATTTAAGACCTTATCTGGGTGATGTCTCAATGCTGCTTTTCGATACGCCTTCTTGATCTCTGAAGCTGTGCTAGATGATTCAACCCCCCTGTGTGGATTGACCGAAACAATGTCAGTCCAAGTGAACGAGCTTTTCACATTTGGTTATACAACACACCTAAAAAGACTACAGTGCATCCAAAAAAACCACAACAGCTCATAGCATATGTGGAAACAGCTTTCGACTTGATGTGGATCTTCACTGATCCGTAGAAGAATCAGCAGAAAATAAAACAAAAGAAAGCATTGGGTTCAACATAGCTGTAACTTGCAACAGCGTTCTAGAAAAAAAAGAAACAGCAATAGGGAAAATGCCAGATTGGAAAGGCATAAAAGAAAAAAATTATAAGGATATTCTCCTAAATCAGTTATGAATGATTTTCAGGGAGCTTGTTAGGTGGGCACCATTAGAGCCCATTTGGAGTGGCTTCCAAGATATAAGTATCATATGGAGTCCAAGGTGCTCCCCTTTAGAGCCTATTTCTTCAAGCACACAGAATTTCTATTTCTGAGTTTAGCAGCTGTTCCCAATCAATTATCCAAAATCACCCTTCTCTCAAAATTTCCATTTCTTTTCAGAAGTAAAGAATTTGCTAAACCTGTTTTCACGGGGATGTCAAGGTGGTATCTTGGTAATCAAAACCTCCTTGCTTTTATGTTGAAATATAAAAGTATCCCCTTATCTAAGGAAGCAAATTGTTTCCCTTCAGCTATCAAAATCAATTTGTTATCCGAATGAATGTGAACAATTGGTTTTACTCAGAAATCTCATAACATGAGAACCAAATATTCCACCATGCATCTACAGGAAGCTTTAATAGGCATTAAAGAAGTTGGTGCAAACTATTTCTGTGAGACTCACGATTCAATGAATGAATGTTACCTTTTTCCATAATATCATGAGAGTTGCACTTAAATTGTCTTGTGAAAAGGTTTCCCAGAATGAAACCTCATTTAACTGTCTATTTAAAGGGCTCCAAAAAGATGAGAATTCCAAGAGAAAAAAACAAGGATTTGAGGAAGAAAAAGAGCTAAGAGAATTTCTGGAGAGATCCATAATTTGGGATCAAAAGCAAGATATTTGAAAGGACTGCTACAGTGTATCCTCTGAAACTTTCTTAAATTTCATTGGATCAAAATTATCTGAAATGTCTCATCTCATTCAAGGAAGCTTAGTGAAGCTAAAGCGCTACAAACACAAAGTCTGTGGAATGTAACACAACATCAAAGGTGCATGTAGCAAACTTACATTGACCATATGCATTTGATGAGCACTAGGATATATTCGCATCTACGTGTTACATCACAATCGTTCAATGAACTAAAATACTTCCAAACATGCATGACAACCAAACCTCCAAATAATGTGATAAAATGCGGCATAACTTCTAAGTGCTTGTTTGGATAAACTCGTTATAACTAATAATTCACTATTTCAATAAAATCAATCCTGATAATGAATTATCTGTTGCTTCACAGTGTCCATATTAAAGTTACCTGAGATAAACAAATAAGCAGTTTTACAAATAAATTTCTCTCTTTTTTAAAAGCAGTTTTTACTTTATTCACAGTAATGTGCTGAATCTCACATTTTTGGGCCAGATATTGCTAAAAATAGCTGGAGCTCACCAAAAAAGCTAATTAATTAAATAATATTAAACATATTAAACACAATACAAGATACATACCAAACAACAGACAAGACAATATTATATATAGAATATTAGTTTTATATAAGATAGTCTATTAGATCTAAATTAAAAGTTATCCAAACAGACCCTAATGATGATGCACAAGGTTATAATTGAACTCACAAGATCAGATATAGATCCAATGGAAGTCCTTTTTTGGCTTCTTCTTCTAGTACAGCAAGTCTCCCACGAGCTTGTCTCAGATCATTTAAAATACTTGATCTTCCAGTTTTACCACACCCCTCCTGCTTTTCAAGAAGTGAAATAAGCCTCTTAAGATCATTGATAGCTTGCCCATAATCTCTAATCAGCTCATGTAAGGTGGCTCTTCTAGAAATTGCCTGCAAAGACATTGTCATAGTTATTGCTTAAAAGATTAAGTAAAATATGATGCTTGTGAGTGAATTGCAATGCATGGCAGAAAGAACTGTAATATGCATGAATAGATTGTGAGACTAAACTACACCACATTGAATGCTTTCATAAATATAACAAAAACAACATTTTTAAGCACGACCATTTCAGGCAAGTCATGATAGAAAGTACTGCAACATAAATACAACAGAAACAGCATTGATTGCTTATAACAAACATAATTTTAACAGAAACAACATTTGTTAGGCACGTCCATACACCAAGGCAAGTATTCCATCCACCACTGAATATCAACTTCAAGTATTCAAAAAATTAGATGATAGAAAACAGTAAATATGTCTGCACCACACCTTTGATGCATTTTTCCATAAACATACTGTTCATTCTTTATAGTAATATGGAAAATAACATCATTTAAAAAATAATAGTGACTCCATAGAACAGCCCAAGTGAGCAGTAAGAAAGCATTCAGCATTATGAGTCATATTCAGCACTTTGGCCTTAGCTTCAGACTTAGCTTCAGGTCCCATGTTACCCAACTAAAAAACATTGAACGAAAAAACAGCTCCCCACAAGAGCTGGCAAAAGCTAAAAAATAAAAAATAAAACTGACTTTAATGCCCTTCACTTAATGAATAGTATGATTGCTTAATCTCATGGTCGAATTTCTATAGCATAATTGTTGGGATCGGGAGTGCGAGACCGTGAAAGCATAGAAAACACCTACGGATGAGACTAGAGTGCCATTCGTACAATGTATATATTAGGGATTGTGATCCCAAAAGTTATGGATCGCAATCCCAATTTTTTGGGGATCTCAATCCCAACCTTTTAAGACCTTAATCCCAACCTTTGAAGGATCTTGCTCTCAACTATAAAAAGTATCTATAATGGAGAACTATATGCTCTTGAAAGTATGGACCCCTTTATTTATAGTCAGCAAGCAACGCAACTATATTAAAAGTACAGTTGCATTACTAGCTGACTTTAAATAAAAAAAATCATCAATTTGGTTGTTATCTTGGCCTTTAAGAAAATCCCCTTACAATGAGGATCTAGATCTCTAATAGTGGGGATCGGAATCCCAAAATTTAAAAATCGAGCTCCCTTATAGATTGTTTTCCAGGAGTGTTCAGACAAGATTCAGATCGTCACCTAGGTAAGGGGATCCCCACAACTATGTTCTATAGCACTAGCTCACAGCTTAAAAACTACTAAAAAAACCGATCCAGGCGAATTTGTTGGAGAAAATGATTTTTTTAGGAGAAAGGAAATACGACGAATACGCACAGATCTATCTCAAGAAAGAAAAATGGTTGTTAGATTCAAGCCTTGAATTTGTTTAACACCAAACTTTGTAGAGGCCTAGATCTACAAATGAACAATTTGAAAATCAAAATTTAATTTTAAAATTCTAAAGAAATACATTCTCTAGGTTCTTTTTTATTTTTTCCTTTTTTTTATAAGATTATTCACCAAGTTCAAGAGAATTTATGTGCAAAATTTGTTGCCAAGCAAATCCCTCTAAAAAGGATTTTTTAAGAGTTTTTGAGCCATGAGCTAATGAGCTAATGCTACAAAAATTAGCTTATAGGAGTATGCAAGTATTCCCCATACACTTCATAATCATGCACAAACTAATTGAGATGCAAGTATTCCCCCATACACTTTATAATCATGCACAACTAATAGAGATGACGAGGGATATATCATTCTTTCATCTAGTGTTATCGTTAACAATAGAAAAGATGCATTTGGATGGTATTCCCAGCCTCAAAATAATGCACATATGGTACTCCCTCAACAAATTAAACGATATACTCATCCCTTCCTCTCCCACTGGTAGAGTGGTTGCATAGGCATTTCTAATAACTTAGGTGTCGTCAATCATAATCTGGTTGACACATAATCACGCCACATGACTATGACAGCAGGATTCCTTTTTGGTACCCGAAGAGAAAATCCTCGATTACATTCCAAAATAACAATGAACGAAACATGGCATTGAAAAATGTCAATATAGCCTCGGAACTGCCAATAGCCATAATGTTATATAACATTTCATGGTAAATCAGAGACATACTTTTGAAACGAAAAATATCATACACCATATCATGGTATATGGCAAGACTTAACTAGGCACCTGTAGGATGAGGTACCGCAGTGCATGTTGTCCGCAGATGATATAGTTTTGATCGATAAGACCCGAAATAGCATCAACGCAAAGTTAGAACTTTGGAAGGATAATCTAGAATCCCAAGGTTTTAAAATTAGCCAGGCTAAGACAGAGTATATAGAATACAAGTTTTGTAGTAATAGGAGTAGAAACCGGGAAGCAGTTAAGATTGACAGCCATGAAGTACAAAAAACACCGCACTTTCGATACCTTGGGTAGATAATCCAGAAAAATGGAAAGGAGAATGAGGAAGATGTCACATAGAATTAGAGCTGGGTGGGCAAAGTGGAGATGTGCAACTGGAATTTTATGTGATTGTCGCATAACAAGGAAGCTGAAGGGTAAGTTCTATAAGACAACTGTAAGACCAGCTTTACTTTATAGGCAGAGTGTAGCGGAGATGAGGTTGTTGAGATGGATGAGTGGCAAGATAAGAAGGGATAGAATCCGAAATGAATCCATTCGGGAAAGTTTAGTTGTGGCACCAATAGGCGCGATAAGATGAAAGAGAGTAGACTCAGGTGGGCTGACCATGTGTGGTGTCGATCTAGTACAGCACATGTTAGGAGGTGCGAGTTAGTTCAAGTGGAAGTATTGAATAGGGAAAGGGTTAGGCCCAAAAGGACATGGTTGGAAGTAGTCTGAAAAGATATGGGGACGTATGGCCTCACTGAGGGTATGGCCTTAAATAAAGCAGAATGGCAAATCAGGAGTCATGTAGCCGATCCCAAGTAATTGGGAGAAGGCTATGATGATGATCATGGTATATGGAAAAACCAGAGCTTTAGCATCTATTCTCATCGACAACTGGCAGACATCATAGAATGATCTAGTATAAAGTCAGCCATTGTAGATTAGCAGACAGAGGGTGGTTGGCTTATCTATACACTCTTTTACGAAACCTTTTCAGAAATTGATTTTTTTTGCTAAATAATGGTTGTTGCATAGTTGAACAGCTATTATTTACCCAAACAACAAATTAAATTTAAGTCTTAAATAATGAAAAGATGCCACTTCATTAGAAAATAGATGTTATTTAATACATATTTCAAAAGCCTTACAAAACAACAGCCTTCATTCCCATTTTAATGCACAAACAAGGCATCTCTTTCCTTTTCTTATCCATTTTGTTTTGTATAGTGGCCTTTAATTGTTCAAAGCAACGTTCATGCTACAAAGCAGCAAAAAAAGCCCTGGTAGGTAGAATGGCATTATGACATTTTGATGATTTCAAAATCTTGATTGCAATTATTAGACATACAGTTACCAAGCAAATAAAAATAAACAATATTGATGAGAACAGTTCCCCCCATGTAACTTCTAGTAACCCAGAATCCCATTATGAATACATTGGACCCAGATTGTAAGAGAAGACTCTTGTAATCTGTTACCTAACATAGCATATATCATCACAAAAAATGCTCAAATTTGCCCCTCAAGGAAAAAAAGCCATGATCTACACAATACATTTCATCTTCTTTCTTACACACCTTTGCATAATTTGCATCAAGAGCTATTGCGAGGGTGCAATCTGCTACAGCATCCGTAATGTTTCCTAAAATTTGATGGGCAGCTGCACGATTGCAAAAGCAAATGGCTGCAAAAGGGTGTGATTCAACAGTGCATGCCAAAGCAGCACCATAATGTTCAACTGCTTCGGCATGCTTCCCTGATTGAAATGATTCATTCCCTGCAGCCTGCACCATAAAGCAGATTGAGAGGTCATATAATCATGCAGATTTTTTTTTAATAACAGTAATCATGCAGAAATCCATATACAAAATTAAAGGAAAGCATATAAAACATCATAAAGCAAACAAATCATTGATTGTAAACATAATCTCGTAAACAGTTAGGTCAGGTTAATGTTGATTTGTTTGCCAGACAAGTCAGTCATTTTATTTATTTTCATACCAATGATATGAAATGAGATTTAAAAGCTCAACTGAAAGTTGGTTGTATTTTGGAATTGAAATTTATGGGTATCAGGGGAGAAAAGGGAAGAACTCAAATCCAATCTAAGAAAATTGATTTGACATCAACAAGGACAGTGAGAAGCAACACTTGGAATTAAAGGTTGCTCATCGATTATTTCTTTAAGAACATACATTTCATAATAAAGCATATGAGACATTTATATTAGTAATCCTCTCTTCGGGATTCGTCAGAATATACTTTATAATAAATGTCATTTACATATGTATGTAGACATCTTATTCATTTAAATAAGTTGAACAAAATTACATGTCTACATGCACGCATGGGTGCACACACACACACACAGATACATATTTCCATATTCATATGCATGTATGCAAGTTGTGTACTGGTAATTGTCATATTATATATGATTGTGTGCGCACATGTATCTACATCTCTAAAACGCCCAGATTCAGATACAGACACAGACAAGGATATAGAGAGCATGGATTGCAATCTAGGACACAGATACAAATATAATTATCCATGTGGCACATACGTAGATACACATTCTAACTTGTCTAATTAAACATACAAATACAATATCTATATTTTATTCATGTTATATCCATGTTCTTATTTTACTCAAATCATATGTATTACTGTTATATCATATTACATTTACAAAAATATATGCATCATAATACATGTAGTTTTAATCCCATAAATCACTTCTAAAAGTCATGGAAAATGGTGAGAGGGCACTCCCTAGTTCACCTTTTACGAATTTGTAAATGTTAAAATCCCCTCCCATGGGCCCACCCTCAACACATGCAATCCTACCTCATCATGCGCATTTTCTTAGCCTGACGGTTGAATGGGGAACAATTTATAAAAGCTGCACATCTCCTAAACTTTCGATTTGGAACGAATCTCTCTCTCTCTCTCTCTCTCTCTCTCTCTCTCTCCAACAAAGATAATGCCAAGAGTGGGCGAACAACATACAAAGTTACTCATTATCATCATCAATCATCATCATCATCATCGTTTTAGCCTTTTCCCATTTAATTGGGGTCGGCTACATGAATCCTGGTTCTCCATATTGCTTTATTAAAGGCCATATCCTCAATGTGAGGCCAAAAGTCCCCATTTCTTTTCGAATCCAACCACATTCTTTTGGGCATACTCCTTGCCTTTTTCAATCTTTCCACTTGAACTAACTCGCACCTCCTAACAGGTAGTTGGACATGGTCGACGCCACACACCAGTCCAACTATGTCTACTCTCTCTCATATTATCGCCTATTGGTACCACGCCTAAATTCTCAGTATTCCATGAGAACAAAGCATATTGAAGTGTGCAATTTTATTTGGGAGAAAGTATTAAGTGATATCAACTCCTTATTTGCTGTTGGAGGATCAGCAGGCTAATATATTCACCAAGGCTTTTGATCAAAACCAGACTTGGATAATTTTTTCTAGGCATTGTGATAATTATGCTCGAGCTTGAGAGGGAGTGTCGAAGATCAGTTCACTTAGGTATGTGCATTGTTTGTGGGCGAATAGGGCATTCTTGTCCTTTTTTTATATACTTAAGGACACTAGTATAATGAATAAGCGAATTAAGGGCATAATTTATAAAGACTACAGAGAAGGCTGTGGAGGCTAAGCCACCCTAATGGGACTCCGACTGCCTCCAGCCACCTCTCTCCATCTTCTTGCCTTCTCTCTCCCACTTTCTTTGCCTCTCTAACTTTTCTCTCAGTTCTTCCTCTCAGCACTCTCTTCCTTCTCATTGATATTATACTTCTAACAAGCATCAACAAGAATTTTGTTGTGGCCAAAATTAATAAACCAAGTGAAAATGAAGTCTGATAACAATTAAACAGCATATTGATATTAAATAATAAATGGGAAAATTAGAAACATGGAAAAGACATGAGGGAATACCTTATGACGTAATAGTTCCTGTATAGTGATGATGAGTGCACTCACAGATTCTAAACTCCTGCTACTACACCAGGACAGTTTTATTTGCATTAGATACGCATAAAAGAGCATCATCATATTCAAATCCACAAGAAGATAGATGAAAAAAATTTGGGAACAAGTATTAGTTACTTTTCAGAACTCGCTTGCTGGTGTTTTTGCAGCAAATCAAGTGCCTCCTCGAGTTTTCCCAAATGAAAGTATGATTTGGAAATCATGTGCCACCGCCAAAGCCGTACAGATACACTTTTTCTGCTTGCAGAATCATCCACACTTTTCTGGTCACCTTCAACACTAACAAAGGGAAAATTCCTCTCTGCAGAATCAAGAGTTTGCTCACAAAATTGAATTACATCCTCATACTTCCGCATCTGAGACATGCCAACATTACGTACTCTTAGAATCTGAATTTAATCTTTTCAAGTAAATGAAAGTAACATTTTTATATGCACTGACCAGCAATAACATTTAACGGGAGAATTTAATCTCAGTAATCAGAGAAGCATAACAAAGTATTAGACTAGTACAGAAATGTAACAATCAGCAAGAATCACAAACCAGGAAAAGGGCATCTGCCTTCATTTCAATCAAGCACTCAGAGTACGAACTTAGTGACAATGCATTGCTAATAACAGCCAATGCAGTTGCAGCATCTTTAGATGTTCTCGTATGTAGAAGTTCGGCAGAACGGTCCATGTACTCAACCACTTGCTGCCAGACAGAAGAAGCACAAATTAAACCCCAAGTCAAAACTAGACCACCACCCAAGAAAGAGAAACAGCCGCAAAAAGGAATATCTTTTAAACTCCAGGCTGTAATATCAAGGAAAATCGCACAAGAAACATTCACAGCAACAACAGAACCTTAAAGCAGTTCTTTCAACATGACAGTCAGAAACCAACATGGTCAAGCATGAAGAAGGACAAACATGAAATTAGTTCAGCAATCTGGAGGCAGTTCAAAAATCTAGGCTTGTAATACATAACCCCATAACAAATTAGAAATCAAATCGTATCACCACCAGATGAACCTAGACACTCCTACTTTCTTTTGGTCTAGCATGCATACCAAGACATGGGAATGAGACGAGATCTGCACATGTCAGATAATCTTATTGCTTATTAGGATGTATCCACACTTTTTATAGAAGTGTCTTGCATCTCATTATCAGCAATGGTATTTAGACTGGACTGCTCCCTGTTGGTTCACCAATTGGTCAATTTAAAAATTAAATATAATGGAGAAAAGTATAAAGGGAATGTAAAGGGAAAAGGACAAAACAAAAAAAATAAATAAATAAATAAGAAACTTCTTAAAAAATAGAAATAAATATAATCCAAAACATGAAGCAATAAGTCAAATAGATTCAATATTCTACTCATTTAACAAAGAGAAATATCAAATATGTAAAAAATAATTCAACTAAATGTTGAAGGCATAAAATAAAAGTCCACAATCAACAGTGGCATAAATCTTTAAAGCCCTTGAAATTTAAAAAACGAAAATGCTAAAAAGATGCACAAAATCGAATTTTTCTTATTTATTCTTATTTTCACAAACCAAAACAAAAAATAAAATAAAATAAAAATAAATCACACACACTAGCTTGGGGATTGAATATTTCATCGTTTTGGCAGGACTTTCGCTCGACGACAGTTTTTTTGTTGCGAGAGAAAAAAATCACCAAAAGCCCTTCTCTCTCACTAAAAGTGTTGTTCTTTTTCTTGAAAATGGTGACTATATATTACTATGTAGTAATGAACTCCAAAGGTTCTCACTTCTCACAAGCAGTGGAAGGAGCGCAGCCCACAAGCCCGGCTCTTGTACAAAAAAATTGCTTTGGGATACGGGTGCAAGAAAGGTATAAGGAGAGAGGTTAAGGAAGGAAGGAAGGACGAGAGGGAGGAACAGTAAGACTTCAACAGGAAGAGAGATGAGGTAAGGGCGAAAGAGAAGTGCGGGAAGAGGTTAAGAGAAGGAGAAAAGTGACAAAGAACATGAGGAGAGAAGGCAACCAACATGTTTGGGTGCACTGTACAGATAATAAAAGCTTAAAAAGAGAAAGAAAGAGAGACAGGGGAGACGGCATCAGCATGATGAGTACATGTGTCAAAAAAGGGAAAAGGTCACCCACAAGCCCAATGCTCAGCAACTCAAGTCTAGTGTAAGAGGGGGAGAGAAGTGATAGAGAACTTGAAGTGAAGGCAACCCACGTGCTTGGGTATTCCATACAAATTATAAAAGCTAAGAAAGAAATAAAGAAAGAGAGGAGAAAAAGCACGCATATGACGAGTGTGTGTCAAAAAAAAAAAAGGGTGGAAGCAACTATGAGAGGGGTGCTTGGCCAAAATGGGGAGGTAGAAGGGGGCAACCCACAACTCGGGTGCTCAGAGTCAAGGCAAAATTGTGTCCAAAAGCCCATTAATGAAAAGGATGTGCCTGTAAAAGTCAAAGGGAAAACAAAGGGAAGAATGGGAGGAAGACAGACTTGGACATAGAGTGGGAAAGTATAAAGGGGAGAGGAGGGAGATAAATGGATCGAGGTAAGAGAGGGAGAAGAGGTGGAAAGGAGGAGAGAAGACACTAAAATCTGGCCATGATGTTAAAAAACAAAAATTCATGAGATCGTCAGGGACCTGAGATGGCAGCACCCTCCTTTGCTAAAGCAATGGCCTCCACATTCGCCTCCCACCAAATATGGCAAAAGCGGACTACAAGCCGCCTGCACAAATGAAAATATGGTTAAAAACTAGGAGCAAGACACTAAGGACAATAAGTGCTCTTGTTGGCCCAAAGAACGATATGACATTATCTCCTTCTGCAATAAGTTTCTCCCCATAGATATGGTAAAACCTAGAGAGACATTCGAGCAAGGTGCTGGCCTCAGCCCAAGTGGAGTCACAGGTGCCACGGAAGCAAGTACAGGAGGAAATAGTATTTCCATAACAGTCTATGAAGATTCCCCAAAATCGTATGGTCCCAAATTTCCTAATGAGCAACCGTCAAAATTTAATTTGAGGGTATCCTGGTTGAGGGTATGCCTTAGGGAAGAGCAAGAGAGCTTTGGAGTTTAAATTTGATTATGTCTAGTGTTCGCAAAATCGAACCGCAACGGTTAACCGGACATGGGGCCGAAAGCAGTTTAATCGACCTAACTGGTAAAACCAGCCAATTCAACCATTCTAACCAGGCAAGTCCTGAGCGATCAAAAAAGTGTTGAAAAAAATAAAAAAGATACAAAAAATCTACTAAAATAAAAAAAACATATAAAGAATGATTAAAACAAAACACATTCAAATGAACTTGAAATTGTGATTTTCCTAGTGGAAGAGCTTACTACCTCTCCATGGGTGAGATAAGAGTTCAACCCTCGAGTATTACTTTTTACCTTCTAATATTCGGTTTGGTGTTAGGACGCCCACCTAGGCACAGAGGTGCCTTAGAGCCGCCTAGGCAGCTTGATGGATCCCCTGGCCCGAAAAAAGTCCTCGACCAAGGGCTCCAAGTGTTTGATGATGCGCCTCTCTCCCTTTCACACACACAAACACTGACCCATGTGCTCTCTATCTCTCTACCAAAAGAAAAAGAGACAACAACCTTCAAGTGTTCGATATGAGGCCTCTTTCTCACATACATATGGACCCATATGCTCTCTCTCTCTCTC